TTATGGAAAAGAGTATAATTGAACACAACTCTGCCAACATTTTTGAGATTCTAGGTGAAAAATCGTGATAATCTAGGAAAACCTAAATTATAGTAGAATCTCTCCTATCCATCACAGTCCAGACCTGTAGTTGGTTGGTTAAGTGGAAAAGTGTGTGAAGGGAGGACTCATTTAAAAATGTCATTACAGACCTCAAATGTTCTACTTTAACTGAAAACATATATTCACTCACCAATCTTTTAATGCAGTATCAGGGCCTTTTCTTTGAAAACAGATCTGCTGAGTGGATACAGACATCATCTTTCTTACAAAAGCCACACTTAACCATTCACTGTCAACAATTTCCAGTTCAATTTTTAAAATACAGAGGGAGAAGGTTAAGACAGTAAATGTAATCTATGCATCTCTTCAGGATCTTGTTCAAATGGGAGAAAAAACGTATATTCTCTCGGTGGATATAAAAAAAATTTTAAAATAGCCAATATTCTTTCCTAGTTAAGCAAACAATCCTCATTAACTTAATAGAAAATATTTCCTTAACCCTGAGAGGCCACCTGTCAGAAATCTACAGTTGTACTTTAGAGAAGAATGCAAAAAATTTTGAATAAATGGTGAGGCACACCATTCTTCTGAAAAGACATATCGATATTATAAAGATTTTAGTTCTTCCTAAATAAGATACATTCATTTTCATCAAAATTCCTGTGCACGTTTTTAGCTGAAATTGATAAGCTGAATCTCAAGTTTACATTGAAAAGAAAGTTCACAAGAATTGCTTTTCTGAAACATTTGGAGAAGGCAAGTAAGAGATAGGAAGAAGATACTTAGCAAAGAAATAGTATCCAGGATATATAAAGAACGCCTATGAAACCCTAAGATAATAGTGCGAACGATGAAGTTGAAAAATGGGCAAAATTAATAGGTGATTCACAGACAATGAAATACAGGTAGCTAATAAACATATATAAAAATGCCTAGTCTCAGGGAATTGCAAATTCCAATGGGAATTTGTTTAGGATTTTTTTTTAAAGCTATTTTATTGGGAACAGTCTAAATGTTTACCAACAGGAGAAATTGCTAAATAAACTGGATTCCATACACTTAAGGATAAAGATATGTCCATACATGCCACGAACACCAAGACATATGGCGAAGTGGCGAAAGCATGAGGAGGAGCATTACGTGTAAATCCAACGCATCTACACATGCAATGCCCAGCCCAACGCCATAGGCTGTCAACTGGGCCCCAGGGCAGAGGGATGGGCCAGGTACAGTGCCTTTTAAATTTGTTTAGGACACTAGTATGTTTTTGAATCTTGGACATGAACCTCTATTAATAGCCATTTAAAAAAAAAATGCCCTAGCCAAAATTCTATGCCCTCTAGAAAGTGAAAAATATTCTGCTTTTGTTGTTCTTTGGAGAGCTGTTGAGTATCCAATATAGATGCTTCTTTCTGGAACATACCCAAGAACTACTCAGTGATCAGATTTAGCATTCTGACGCTATAGAAAAATAACAATGCTATGTTAAGTTCCCAGTGCCGAGTAGGTGGCCAAACCCTGTATGTGACATTCTTAGTTTTCCAGCAAACTAAATATGCCCGAGGCACACTTCCTGAATGCGTCTTCCACCAGAAAAAGCATGAAATTACCAGCCACGTAACTGACAGTCCCAGAATGCTAGTTTGCGGTCCGATGAGGGAGGAAGCCCAGATCCCTTCCCTGGTGTGGCGAGAGGAATTCTGGGAAATTCTCACCTCCAGCACCTGGTTTTCTCACCTGCACTCTGGTCCGGGGGAATAACATGGGTCACCTCCACCTAGAGCTTAGCAAGAATCAATGAAATGAATTTGAAGCCAATAAAGACTTGATCCAATATTAATACTCATGTTAGCAATGTGTGTTGATTCTCTTGACATTGTCCACTTCTAATTTTGGAATGGAATGGAATCATTTTTGAATGAGTGTTTTACAAGTTTCCTGGCTACTTTAGCCTCTAAATATTGAGCACTTTCTGAAAGGAAAAAAGAAAGACTAGCAACATGGGAATTCATAGCTCTGGACAGACACAAACCAGTGACTTTTTATACGTAAAGGGTGCCAGGCTCCACTCTGAAACTCTCCTGCAGCTCAACCTTCCAGCAAGTTAGTTCCAAGCGCTTCGTGACTCACGGTCTCATCGACATGCAAAGCTTTCGAGGAGAAACCAGCTCTCTACTCGCCCAAGGGAGCTCCGGCGGGCCCTGCGGATGTGGAAGTTGCCCCCCAACTTCCATCCTCTCAAGGGCTGCAGAGCACAGCGGGATGAGACAGACGCAAAAGACCAGGCTGGTAACGTGTGTCACCTCGTGGCAGTGGGACAGCGGATAAGACTTCGATTCACGCCTCGCGTTGGTTTGGTTTTTGACCAAGTAAACCTGGAAGGTTGTCAACATATCAGATCAGCCTTTACTATTTGTCTTTAAACCAAGAAAACGCAAAATGGCCTTTTGTTTTATTTTAATTTTTAATTTTCTTTCTAGTGAAGTACAGTCAGTTACAGTGTGTCAGTTTCTGGTGCACAGCACGGTGTCGCAGTCATGCATACACACACCCATTTTCATTTTCATAAAAATGGCCTTTTCTTTGTTGCTCAATTTAGTTTCCATTTGATGATGTTCCCTCCCCCTCCCCTGCAAAAAAAACCAAGCTCAGCAATGTCTCAGAGGGTCCCTGGAGTTTGAAAGGCTCTCTGCACAAGCTAAGAGGTTACAAAGAATCCAGAAACATACTACAGATCCTGGGGGAAGGGTTAGAAAAAATCTGCAAAACATTTTTAAATGCATGAAAAACCCCTTAGAAGTAAGCATACCCTAAGGTCAGAGTGTTTTCCTATTGATGTCTGCAGGGCTGAGCTTCACAAAGTCATGCTGGGAGCAAGACAAAGGTTGGGTGCTGTAAAATCTCTGGGTGACACTCTGCTCCCACTGCTGGCTGGCCCTGCTCATCCCTCACTCTCCCCCCCACCCCGCCCTCTCTCCTCCTTTCCTCTCCTGCTGCCCCCACACCCTTCCTTAGCTGAAGGGCCCTCTTAAGCCACCCTTGAGCTGGCATTCTAATTTGCCCGCAAACGGAATCCCCTTCTCAGAGCTAAGCTGCGTTTTGTAGCTTTGTGGCAACACGGAGCACGCTTCATTTCCACTTAAAGGGCTGCCTGCTCTGTTTACCATCACTCCCCGGGAACTTAACCTCATTTAAAGGCTGACTTTCTTCTGCATTACAGTTACAAGGGAGCCTCCAAGCCTCTTGCTCGCAACAGCCTGCATCCGGCTGGCCGTCTCTAGGACCAGCGGGCCCCTCCCAGACCCTCCGGGTCCGAAGGCCGGACCTGACAGGCGATTTGTTTCCCTCTGCGCATGCCTGCCTCCAGCCAGCGTGACCGCTCTGGCTTGGAGCTTTACAGCTGGCACGTCTCCACATTCCTAAAATCCCAGAGGGGGTCTCAAAATAGAATAAGAAATGAGAATTTAAATTGGAAGCAACGGCCCTTGGAGGGCGGCCAGCTTCGGGTTGAGAGGGTCTCGCATCCCCCTCCCTCACCAGGGCCCTGATTTACCTGCAGGCTTTTGCAAAGCAAGAGACAGTGTCCCTCAGTGTGACTCGGACTGGCCTTTTCAAAGGGAAGCTGAGGTTGGCATGGGCACCCCCGTGCCTTCTGAGGAGCAGGAAGGACACTTGTGCCCCCCAGAGACCTTCAGTGCAGCAGTTAAACTGCCTTCATTCCAGTGACCGAGTAGGAGGGAGGTGGACGCAGGGAGAGGAGAATGAGATTTGTGGAAGATTTGTCTTCTTGCCTTGGGTCTGGAGGGTTTGGCTGTGAGATGAGCCCCTTTGGATGGATTTGGCCGGGCAGCACCACGGAAGAATGCCAGCTTTCCTCCTGGGAGGGGAACGTAAACCCCCTTCTGAGTGTGGTCAGTGACACGGGGCGGCAGGTGGCAGAGCGGGCCTGTATTTGGGAAGGCAAGTGCCTTCCATCCTCGAAGGTGACACCTCCCCATGCCTGCCCTTCTTACACACGCTGGGAGCGAGGCCCTTCTCCCGATTCAGGAATCCCAGAAGAGGCCGACTCTACCCTGGAGCCGGTTTCATGTGGACCCACGTCCTGGCCGAGGCCCGCGTTCCCTGCCCACCTCTCGCTGCGGGTGCCTGCGCGCAGCGCCAGTCCCCAAGCTCCATCACGCTCTTGGTTAAATCGGCACTTCACACGTCCCTCCCTTCATCTCAAATTCCTTCAGCAAGTGACGGCTTTTGCTTTTTTACACACTTTGGAAAGGCCTGGCCAACTCACAGTAAAAACAGGGGGCCCCTTGGGTTTCACCTCCGCCCCTCACCCCCTGTTTTCTGAGAAGAAATCCCTAACGCGTGAAGCACAGAATGAGAAATCGGGGATGCTTGGAAAGGACTGGCTAGCAAACTCAGACTTTGGTTCCCTCCTGTGCTTTCAGCTGTAGTCACGCATCTCCCGCAAGTGAACAAGGCCGTCCTGGGCCCTGTGCTGTCCTCTCACCCTCTGCGAGGCGGGAAGCCCCATAAAAAGACCGGCAGGGCGGCTGCCCTCCTGCCGGCGCCGTCCGGTTCCCCGGCCTAGAGGCTCTAGCTCACTTTCTGCCTCTGAAAGGGCTTACTTATCCCTAAATTCTATTGGTTCCCTGAGCTCACTCCTGATTGGTCCATTCCCCTCACTCCTGATTGGTTATTTCTCTCACTCCTGGTTGGGCTAGTTCTACAAAGCTTGTTCCTGGTTGGTCAACTTCTGTTGTACTTTATTTGCATGTGATGTTGCAAAGTGTAAACTGGCAGCCTATAAAGGCCTGTGTAAACCTACAGACGGGGCCCAGACCTTGGAGTGTTGACTGCGCTGGGCCAGCTGGCGTAATAAATAAACCTGAGTTCTTCAACCCTCCGAGTGCTGCTTGGTCTCTCGCCCGGATCCAGGTTGCTGTCACAACTGAGCTGTGACACTGAGCTGTAACTCGTTTTTCTGCAAGGCTTGGTTTCCCCAAGAATGCTTCCCACAGGGGTCCTAAAGGATCCTCAAAGGCACAAAAGGTTTAGTGCCACCGGGGACTGAGCAGAGACGTGTGAGGCCCTTCCGGGCAAGGAGTCCGGGTGCAGGGTGAATTCTTGAGGAGAGCTCCCAGTGGAGCAGGCTCTCCAGGGATTGACAGATCTACTAAACCCCTCTGGACCTGAGTCCCAGGACTCGGTCTGCTGGATGAGTCAGTAAATGCTCACTTCCTGCCCAAAGGACTGAAGGACGCTGCAGAAGCCACAGCTAATGCTCGCTGCACATTTCCTTCTTGCCCGTCTGTGTCCTCAAAGCTTTACAGACATTGTTTCGTTGCATGGGCAGAAGCTCCTCTTGAATTACACGTGCAGATGCTGCCCACGTGGTAAGAGGCAGCCACCCCCAGGACCCCAGGGCAAGTCATCAACCAGGCCTGCAGGACCCCATCCCCTGAAGCCAGTGGCCACCCTATCCTTTTGTGACTTCCGGGCACCCCACCCCCCTTCATTGTCCCTCTGGTGTCGTTGGCTCCTCTGTTTCCTTCCCGCTTCCCTTCCATGGGATGCTCTCTGATTCCCGCTTGCCGAGTCCTGAGATGAATATGTGAGAGTGAGTCATTTATATGAGAGGCGACCCCAGAAGTACCCCCGGGAGGTAAGACAGCATGGGAGTGGTCCCCCAGCCGCACTGTGGGCATCTGGAGCCCACTCTCCTAGGAGCTCCAGACACAGCGGAGAACGGGCACCTCGGGCTCATCCTTCTCGAGGGTCCAGGAAGCTGGGCTGTCTATCCACCAACTGCTCCAGGCTCTGGACCCCGCGGTGCAGACGCATGAGTGGTAGCGGACATCAGGTTGGCGGACTCAGCGTCCAGGGGTTGATGCCCTCTGTGTTCCCTGGCGTTCTGTGCTCCTTGCAGGTAGAACCTCTTCAACATGCAATCAAAATAGCAACAACTGCAGCAACAGCGGAGACCACAATCCCCGAAATGTTTGGAGGTCCTAGTGCCACCCCATGTGCCCAGCGCTCTCCAGCCGCCTGGGCGCCCTCCACCCCTGGACTGCTCACAGCTCCTCCTTGGGTTGTCAGTCTTTCCTTCTCTGCTGACTTCCCTAGAAGACCTCTTTCTGCTCTTCCTCATTGTATCTCCAGAACCTAGAAGCATCCTTGGTGCTCAGTAGCTATGGACTGAATGAACAAATAAACCATCCATCACACTCAATGTGAAAAATAAGGTAATAAGAAAATCCAAAGAGCCAGTGACTTAAAAAAGAAAAATAAGCATCTTCCTAAAGATTTTAGTCTGAATGTGTGACTATTTTGGACCAGAAATTTGATTAAAAAAACAAAAGCATTTATGTGCTTTATGTGACTGGTTTAGTGAATGTGGTTCCCGTAACACCAGTGACCAAGACCAGCTTCAGGACACTTGATCTGGACAGGGTCCAATGCTCAGAAGTGATCTGGGTTTGTTTTCATGCTCTGCTGTTGTCATCTTGAAATTCTTAATAATTTTCTTATTGCCCCTTTTAAAATTTCTTAAAAAAATTTTTTTTATTGAAGTATAGTTGATACATGATATTATATAAGTAACAAGTGTACAATATAGTGATTAATAACTTTTAAAAGTTATGCTTCGTTTATAGTTATTAAAAGTATATTCCCTTTATTGTACAATATATCCTTGTAGCTTCTTTCATACAGAATAGTTTGTACCTCTTAATCCCCTACACCTACACTGCCCCTCCTCCCTTCCCTCTCCCCACTGGTGGCCACTAATTTGTTCTCCATATCTGTGTCTCTGTTTCTTTTTTGTTATGGTCACTGTTTGTTGTATTTTTTAGATCCCACATGTAAGTGATATCATACACTATTTGTCTTTCTGTGTCTGACTTGTTTCACTTAGCATAATGCCCTCTGCACCCATCCACGTTGTTGCAAATGGCAAAATGTCATTCTTTTTGTGGCTGAGTAGTATTCCATTGTGTGTGTGTGTGTGTGTGTGTGTGTGTATCTCCATCCATCTGTTGATGGACACTAAGACCTAAGTGTGACATAAATCGAAGAAATTTTTTTTTGGATCTTTTTCCTAAAGCAAAAAAAATAAAAGAAAAATAAACAAATGAGACCTAATCAAACTTAAAAGTTTTTGCACAGCAAAGGAAACCATTGACAAAACGAAGAGACAAATACTGATTAGGAGAAAATACTTGCAAACAACATGACCAATAAGTGGTTAATATCCAAAATATACAGACAGCTCATGTAACTCAACATCAAAAGAAACTAAAATTAAAAAATGGGCAGAAAACCTGAACAGACATTTTTCCAAAGAAGCAGCACACAAGCGCAGGACGAGATGCTCGACATCGCTCGTCCTCAGGGAGACGCAAAGCGAGACCACGCTGGGACACCAGCTCACGCCTGTCAGAATGGCCGTCATCAAATAGAACCCAAATAACAGATGTTGACGAGGGTGTGGAGAAAAGGGAGCCCTCGTACACTCTTGGTGGTGGGAATGTAAACTGGTGCAGCCACTGTGGAAAACAGTACGGAGGTTTCCCCAAAAACTTAAAATAGAAATTCTTGATACTTTTTGAACAACAGGCCTTATATGTTCATTTTGCTCCGGGATCTGTAAATCAGACAGCTGATCCTAAGGGAAACACAGGGTAACATTCCTGGGTAGGGACCTGAACCCAGCATTCTGTCTCTTCAGGCAAATTTTCTGGAGGGTCAGCCACAGGACCCTCTGAACATTGCCTGGTGTTTTCTAGGGCCAGGTCGCAGTACTAACTCACATGTGTGGCTCCCAGGCTTCCTTGGGTCTGCTTTCACCATCCCATCATCAGTCTTTCCTTGGTATCGTGGTACCATCCGTGGTACATGGTTCTACAGCCCCAGAGGCTGGTGCTCTGGGTTCCAGCCCTGAGGTCCGCATATCGACCTGGAGCCGCTGTCCTGATGCAGTTGCTACAGGTTCAAGTGGTGACAGGCAGAGCTGTGTCCTGTTACCTTGTGATGAGCTTTCCTGAGGTGACTTCTCTGTGGTGTTTTTAAAACCCCAGGTTCATGAGAACCCCCAGGAGTCCAGTCTCCCAGACCTCATTCCCAGAAACTCAGATGTGGACCTGGTGAGGCGCAGTACTTCCACTTTTTCAAAAGCTCCTTCAGTCTCTCAAAGAACAAATCCATAAGGGACACTCAGCCACAGTTTTCTCTCTGATATTTTACTATGAAAGTTTTCAAACATACAGAAAGCTAAAAGAATTGTACAGGGACTACTAATATTCTTGCCACCCAGACTGTGTAATTAACATTCTGCTATATCAGCTTTATCATATGTCAATCCATTCATCTCTCCATCTCTCCATCCACTATCTCTCCATTCATCCATTCACTCATCCATCTATCCATCTCATTTATCCATCCATCCATCCCTCACAGTTATTCATCCATCCATCCATCCATTCATCCATCCATTTCTCCATCCATCCATCCAGCCATCCTTCCATCCATCTATCCACCTATCCATCCATCCCTCCCATTTATCCATCCATTCATTCCTCCCGTCCATCTACTCATCCATCCATTCATCTACATCCATCCATCTTGATATAGACTTCAGTATACTCCCTCCATCCCCTAAACACTTACTGCTCAGATCTCTGATTTTCCATGAACAGGCAAAACGTGTCCAGACAGCAAATGTTTCTGAAATTGTAAGAAGATTTAACAGGCCAATCCTGCTCTTTCCCCAGCTGCATCCTAGTTGGGAGTGACTTATCTGTCTCTCTGAGCTGTTTTCTTCAGCCTCTTATATAGGTTTCTTTTTATGTTCATTTTCCACAAATACTCCCAATTCATAGAGAAGTAAATATAAAAACCACATACCTGCTGTAAAATACCTCACTGTGTTCGAGAGGGTTTGCCTCATTCTTTGTGTTGTTCTCTCTCCTGGTTTCCTAGGTGGAGCTCTTTTGAGGTGCAGGTGTCCTTGGTTTAGTTTGTGCTTAGGGCGGACGCCTTGACCAGCCCTTGACTTTAGAGCTGTTAACACTTGCAAAGCATGGCCCCAGCTGCCCGGTCCTTCTGGAGCTTCAGAGCTCTTCGCCAAACGATGTTTCAGAAGTGCAGGAAGAACGTAGGTCACCTGAGGATTTGACGATGGTGTGAGACTTGACAGCCTGATTCTCGGAGCCCATCCATTTGTGCTCAGAAAGCTCTTGTGGGAACCGGGCGTAACGGAACTGAGCAAACAGAGCTCATTACCAGAATGGTTTGTGGAAGGACTGCCCAAGGGCAGGTAAGATGTAGCTTCACCGGGAAAGAGAAGCGGGGGCACTGTACCAATACAAAACAAAACACTAAACGCAAGACACATTACCTCTTGCATTTTCTAGGAGATCTCGTGGTCCTGTCAGCGGGACCTCCTGACCTGTGACCCTGCCCAGAGCTCTGGTCTGTTTCTCCCTGTGTCAGCCCGTGACTTAGCATCGAGCGTCTGCTGCCTCTGGTTCAAACACCAACATTCCTTTAAAATCTGGAATGTGACCTGCCTGCTAGCACAGTCAGGGGAAGAAAGAACTCACAACAGAATTTAGTATTTGATAAATAACATTCCTAAGAATCAACCCTCAACCCTTCATTTGAACTGCTCAACACTACAGACACACACGTACTTATATATATACACACTTGTTCACGTCGCTGCAGACTGAATAGTTCACATATATTGAAGTTTCAGATCGCATTAAGTGACATTTAAAAAATTAAGCATTTTAGGAGCAAATATTTATAAGCTATATTACTTTTTCATTGTCTTCTTAAAAGAGCTTTCTGAAAACAGCTGGACCTTTCCCTAGTGACTTCAGTCATTTCCCGGGAGAGATGCAGGTGGAACGCAAACCCTCATGGCTGAGGGGCGGTGAGGGGCACGAGGGTGACTCATCAGGCAGTTCTCAGAGGCTGGTCCTGCTCTCCTCCATCCCCCCTTCCCTGGCAACACAGTCAAAAGAGAACAACCCGATGGTAAAGCCCAAATTCCATGGACAATGTGGGCAACAGAACCAGCTGACGAGGCATCTCCGCAAACCCCAGTCAAGCGGGCAGTGGTAGGCCACCCACCCCAGGGTCTGCGGCATTGACACCCACGTGGGCAGGATACGGAGGAAAGACCGGGGAAGGGTCTCAGGGTCCCAAACTGGAGAATCCCAGAGTCTAGCAAGAATTCGCTGGGGAGGGTGGCCAGCCAACTGAGGACAGCTGCGACCAACACACTGAAAGCGCACAGGCCCACATGGCGTCACTCGGGTGAATGCAAATGCTCTACCAGCGGATCAGAAGAGGCTGTTTACTTTCAGGGCGATAGACCATTCTGAAATTGGATAGTGGTCATGGGTGCCCAACACTATAAGTATACCAAAAGCCACTGCATTGTACACTTCGAAATAGCTAAAATGGTGACTTTGATGTTATGTGTGTTTGACCTCAGTTACAAGAAAAAAAGGAAGCTCCAAAGAACTGGGGCAACCTAGGTCCTCTCAACTCTCAAACTGACCTTGCAGGGCAGGCCCTGACTGAGGGGAGGCACTGGCCCAGGCATCCAGGTGGGCCAGGTGCGGAGCCAGGTGGGAGGAGCCGGGGCCAGGCTGCCCCTGACGGTGAGCCAGCACCGTGGGTCGGTCACTCCGCCAGAGGATGCCAGACACCGCTCTGTGAAGTTAGGAGCGCTGTCCTGGAGGAGCCGCAAATACAAGGCCAGATAGCCTCTCGTGATGTTGGCTGGGAGTCAGGTGTCAGCACTGACTCCTGAGTACATATGCAGATAGACATATAAAAATAAGCATCAGCGTAGGTGGGTGCGCGTTTATTCCCTGGCTCTGACTATGGAGAGGGCCCCAGTAGCTATGAGCACAGCCGACGCCCGGATCTGGGTTTCTAAATACCATTCTCCGCCGTGTGGAACCAGGGCTCCTTGCAGAAACGGTTGATCCCAGGACCAGCACAGGGAAAGCATAAGATGAGCCTGGAGCATCCTGGGGTACCAGAAAACCAGAAAGGACTCAAAAAGAGATGAGGACATGTGGAAGGAATGCAAGACCCAATCTGCAGGAAGAAAGGAGGAGAAATATTAGTATTAGGTGTATCTGCTGTTGCATAACTAAGCATTAAACCCAGCAGCTTATGCAATAAGTTGTTGTTACCTCACAAATTCTACTTGGAAATCTGGGTGTGGCTTAGATGGGTCCCCTGGCTCAAGGGCAGCTTCAAGGCTGCAGTCACTCTGTCAGTTTGCCGTGGGCAGGATCCACGTCTGAGCTCATCTCCTGGCGGCTGGTGGGTCCTCACTGGCCTCGCCTGGGGGCATCAGTCCTTGCCGTGTGGGTCTCTCCATGGGGCAGCTCACCGCACAGTCTGGCTTCCCTCACAGCCAGCAAGCTGAGAAAGAGTGATGGAAGCCACCATGTTTTTAAAACCTGACACCACGGCCTTTGTTCTGGCCTTCTCTCTGCCCAGAACAGCTCTTCTGCCGCTCCTGGGACTGGCCTCCTTTTACAGTTTAGATCACTTCAAGGTGCTTCCCCTTTGATTCTTTCTGTGGAGGAGGACCCCCCCCCACCTCGCCCAATCATTTTATCTCTCAGCACCCTGCTTTGTTCATAATGTCTTACTATTTTCAATTCCTTGGTAAGAATATGGTGAGGACTATAATGCAGTCATATAGGATAGAATAAAGCAGGTGATGGAACCAAATAGAACAGAACAGAGCAAGGACCAGGGAGCAGGGATGTTGTCTGTCTCACGCACAGCTCCGCACCAGCCGCCTAGCCCAGTGCAGGGCACGTTGTAAGACCTCAGGGACTGTTTGAATGAATGGATACATTTGAATTGCGAACAGTCCCTGCGCACACTTTGTTCTGACCATCCTAAACAGCCCGAGGCGCAATGGGGCTGTTAGAACCCGGCTTGGAACCCCGAGGTAGCCCCGCACACCCGGGGCAATAGGAAGTCGAGGGGTGGTGGGGCGTAGGATCCCGGGGAAAGGTCCAGACCACACCTAAACCCTCCACTTCGGGACCTCTGGGGGCGGTCTTAGCCCCCAGGGTAAGTCCAGAGGTCGCCCAGGTGGAAGACCGCTGATGCGGCAGAGAAGAAGCAAGCTTTTGAGGGCTCTGCCCAGATGAGGTTCTTTTCTCCTCTGATTTGTTCCTACTCATTAGCATATGGGATTGGAAGAGGGCAAGTTTGTTTGACTCGATCTGAGTTTGTTTCTAAATTCACTTCCAGAAGGAAGCAGGTTCTGATCACCAATCAAAGGCCACACACGCTGGTCCAGACCAGGGGTTCTTGACTTCATCCACTCACTGGAATCCCCTGGGGAGCTGAGACGAGTTCCAGCCTCCCTCCACCAGGAGGTCCTCCTGTGGTCTGTTTGGGGTCCCAGATACCCGAGGGGCTGGGAACTTGCATTCAGCACCAGAACACTGCCCCGGACCCTGACATTAGCCGGCCT